GTTTTCTCTTTTCTCTCTATTGATCCCTTTCTTTCTTTTCTATATTCTTTCCCCTTTTGTTCTTCCCCATTCTGTATCAACTGGCATCAGAGCCAAGATTCTCGCACTGCTTTTATTACCAAACTCACTTTAAAATATCTTCTTAGTTCCAAGAATCATCATACCAAAATGCTTTGGGAGATAAGTTTATAATTAAGATTCCTTAAGTTACTCGGTAAGGTTCTTCGACCCTAATTTTTAGGTTTCTTGCCATTTGTCTCCTTTCCTTATTCCTTTTCCCTATTATTCTTGTTTGTTTCCACTTTCCTTCACTTGAAGCCTTTTTATCATATTTCCTTTTTTTATATTATTTTATTTTTCATATTTTGTTTCCTTCCTTTATTTATTCCATTTTTCATTTCTTTCATTTATTCATTCAATTTTTTCTTTGATTTAATCATTAAAAAAAATTCACCTTATAAATAGTTATCTACCCTAGGCTAATTGAAGTTTCTATTGGTTTCTTGAGGGGTTTCCAAGTCCTCAAAAATCATTGTGAATGCTTCACTCAAATTATTACTTATTTAACATGTTTGGTCCCCTATAGGGTTAGACTTGTTAAATAGGTCTTCACTTTTAAGTAAAGGAACTTAAGAACTTTTTCTCAAATAGGATATTAGAGCCTCTAAAGAAAATATCACCTTTAATTGCCTACAATCACCTAAAAAAATCACATTCAATCATGATGTTATGACTTCACTTAATTATCGATATGATTATATTGACCTTCATTAATATAATTATCATTGTCAATATGATTATGTTGACCTTTACCACTATGATTATGCCAATCATCCTCAATGTTACTATCAATATGATTTAGTTGATCAATCAAACTTAGATTTCATATGTTCACCACTATGATTATGCTAATCATCATCAATGTTACTATCAATATGATTTAGTTGATCAATCAGACTTAGATTTCATATGTTCACACCTTGAACTTGTGAGAGATAAAATTGATGAACTCTAAAGCTCCGTTCGATCCATATTAAAAGAAGGGCATTGCTATCAAGTTGAGAAAGAGAAGTTATATCAAAAGGAAATAACTCCTAATTCTCTTGATAATATCTTAAAACATAAAGACCTTAATATTTTGACTGCTAAAGGAGATGATATGCGTAATCAAGACCATGTACCTATATTAGTGGTGTTAGAGAGTAATATCACTATGGATTTTGAGATTGAGGCATGTGATGACATATAAATTAAAGAAGTCTGGTCGAATTATATTGAAACTTTTGCTCCTACCTTAGATATAGGCATTGTTGAGACTCAAGAGGCAACTCTTAATTAAGAAGAAGAGAAATTATGGAAGCAAATTCTACACACAGTAACTGAGAATTATGAGATAATTAATGATGGTATCCAATTTCAATTGACTCTTACTTTACCTAATTCATCTATTATGCCCTCTAGTGTTGATGTTATTACAAATATGTTATCACATATTATTCGTGAATCATATAGTCCCCACCAATATTATCTTATTCATTGGAAAGGATTTTAATGTTGTGCTTCTACATGTTCAGACTATTTACTATTCACTTAATGCCATTTATTGGTATTTGATTTGTTGGAAAGGGTTTCCAAACAAAGACATAACTTGAATTTCTTGATCCTATCGTACCTTTAGAGTATATCCACAATTTTACTCTCTAGAAGAGAGTTCATCAAACAAGGGAGAAATGATGGGAAGAAAAAGAATTAATTAAAGATATTGAAGATTTGATAAGATTGAAAGATCAAAGATATTTTATTAGGATATTTTTATTAATTAAGAATATTTTGTTTTAATTGTAGTAATATTTGAATTATTATTATTTTTTCATTTAATTTTAAAATTTTAAGAATTTCTCGCATTTAATTCTAGGGTTAAGGGTAAAGCTTATAAATAGTGCTTTAACTCATTTGTTTTGTATGCACATTTGATTGAATAAGAATTACTATTATCTTGCCTCTACTTTGAGTTTTCTCTTCTCTCTCTACTGATCCCTTTCTCTCTTTTCTATATTCTTTCCCCCTTCTCCTTCCTCGTTTTGAATCACATAGGATTGTGGTGAAAATTCTACTTCCATGCCTCTCTACTTTATTTATGTGTATTAATGTTGCATAATTGCTAACTAGATCACATGCCATTATTTTGTACTACTTGCATTACTATAGTTTACAACTTGTGTATTTTGTGCCCTGGGTTAGTGAGTTTTAGTTATAAATTCATTGATAAGGCCAAAATATATGTATTTTGCATGATTTGGAATGAAGATGGTTGTTTTGTGTAAAGTTTTCCTCCCCCTTGTATTTTATGACATTTAGGATTGAGTGGTGATTTTGAGATTTATGTATTTTTGGTTGTGTATGGTGTATTGCAGAGGTTTGGTAGAGTCTATTGAGTGTGGTTGGAGGATCGGTGTAGGCTTTTGGCGCTTGTGATTGAGTTTGGACACCATTATTGTGAGATTTTGGTGAAAAAGTAGTAAAATAAATTTTGGTGTTCAACTTTTTGTAGGAAATGAATTTGAGTTTGAAACTTATGCCCTTAGCTAAAACTAGGAGAAAGCTCAGTGTAGACACCAAAACCACCCCAATTGAATGTCAGACGGAGATTTAAGATGCATTTGAAGTTCACTCCCTGTGCTATTAAATTGACAATTGATAATTATTAAATTCATGTAATGCGCTGGCCACGCCATGACACATGGCACAAAGGTGAGTGAGTCGCAGTGCATGGACCTTTAGCCTTGGCTCATGTCACGTTTTCTGCACAAAATATAGTTTTGAGTTTTGAAACTCAATATTTTGAATTTCAATTGATTTTCAAGCTTTTACATTATTTTAAAACTTTGATTTAAGTATAACAAGGGTTTAAGAGATTAAAAATGTTGAATTTTGGGATCCCATTATAATTGATTTGAGTGTTGCTCCCATTTATATAATTTTATAAAGTTGGTAATCCTTTGAGGGGTTTTATCTTTTGATTACCTCAATTTTGGAGTTAGCTATGGTTTATTAAGAGAAACCTTACATGATGCAAAGATATTGGCTATCAAAGTTGGGACTGGGGTTTGCCACTCAATCTTGGCAAAATCTCCATCCACTTTGATTCTATTGAGGCTGTTAACACTTTGAGACGAGACAATCCTTTAGATCACCACTTAAGAGATGTTATTGATTACATTAGGAATCATTTGTTTCTCACGCATGTTGTAGAATTACACCATTCTCACGGAGACATCATTAGATGTGTGGACTTTATGGCCATTCTCACAAAGACATCATTAGATTGTTTATCCATGTATCTTGAAGATGAGAACCATCTTTTGGTTCTTCATGCTCAATTTTCTTTTTCAAGCTTAGCTTTCCGTTTGTAACCCACAAAAAAAAGTGTTTTTTTAATTAATTTTAAAATCATATATTTTTTTAAATTAACAACATAAGATTATTAGCTATTTGTTAAATCATATATTTTTTTCTATCTTAATTTTTTCCTTTTTTTAATTTTTATGAAATTTTGTTATATTTTTTATTTTATATTACTTCGATGTCTTAACTCTTAATCATATAATTGAATACATTTTGTGCATCATAGCATAGGGGGAGAAATTAGTTTTAGGAAAGGATCACACACCCAAGATATAGATATATATAGATATATATTGATATTAATACACCTAAGATATTTAGCGTGCCGTCTCCTTCCATGAAGCTTTGTAAGTGATACTGGATTACTGCCCGTCGATCTTCCTCTCCCCTGTTGTCATAATTTGAGTTAACTCTTTTATTTATTTATTTGTTGCTAATAGCTCATGAGAAACTCTAGTTATGATTGGTTACTAGAAAGGAATAAATTAAAAAATTAATAAAAAACAAAATAAATTAAACAATAACTTCTCTTCATGTTATAATGATAAAACTTATTAATATATATTATAAATATAAAAATCATCACGCCTTTTAAAAATTTCATGAATCATGATTTTTAATTTTATGAACTAAATTATTCATTTTCTTTATAAATGTGATTCACCATTTTTTTTGATAATCTTATTTTTATTTTTTCAATTAATTTTATTTTTTTTAGTAATTAAACGTGACATGTGTAATCGAGTTTGTCAATTTACTCGATATTTAGCCAAAGCTTGTGTGCGCATCTTTTAGTGCAGTTGTGCTTCAGTTACTTGATTTTTTTCCCATTATAATAATAAGTATTTTGTTAAATTATGAAATTGGAATTAAAGTCATCGACTTTTATAACGAGTCAATTACCTAGGAGAGAACAGCAAAATAAAGAGAAAACTTGAAAAAATAAGGGAAAAAAAATAGATAGCTTTGAAGCGTATATCATTTCATGATGAAATCAATCTCCATTCTCCTCTTTTTCTTTCTTGTTTTTTTTTTGGACAAACAATCGCCATTCTCTTCCCGTCGTTCTTTTTTCAGTGAACCAAACATAATAATTGAAAACAATTTTTTATTCTTCTCAATTTTTTTCTCCTTTTCTTCCTTCTTTTTTCATCATCCAAACATGTATATGTTTCATTCACAAAACTTTCACGCATATCATCGTCCTTATTATTCATAAATCACACACTTCGATTTAAATCAATCCAAGTTCACTTAAATGAGGTTTAATTGCCAGAAAAGAATTGAATAAAATATATTCAAAAAATAAATATAAAAATATAATGATTAAGATGTAAAGAAGAGATGAATCAAGAATATTCACAAAAAGATATAATTAATTTAAATTATGAGATTGATAATCATAATAATTCCTGTAATTTGTGATAAGTGTGAATTCGTCATTTAATTTAATTCATTTTATTCTTTCTTCTTTAATCCGTTCTATCCAAATGAACTCGTCATTGGGATGACTCATTCCTCCCGCAAGGTTATGTGAATGAAAATGGAAGTATCAAGGGACCGTTCCTGCAAGTAACCATGTCTAACAAAAGAAATGGGCTCATAAACAATTCTTCACAAATGTCTTGTAACTCTTCAAGGATCAATACAAGATGATACTATACAATCCATAGGTACATGATTTGATAACCATTGCAATAACATCTAGGATGACGACTACTACTCCAAAACCACCTTGACAAAGAGAGCGATAGCAAAATACCAACCTTTCTTGCACGGAACCGTTTGAATCACAAACATACAAATTAGCAACTAGAGTCACAAATGGCGATATTTTACAAAAATATATACATAAAATATTGATCCGACTATGTTGTTACTACAGTCAGCATCATACAGGTGCCTCTTCATGCTCATCTGTCCCCCGCTACAGAACAACCCATTAAAGAACTAGACAGCTAACCCCTATCTCAAAAAAATCATTAAAAAGGGAGCGGGTGGGGGGATGAAGAATTACCCAATATGGTAGACATGAACCAAGTTGGAACCATCTGTATCTTTAAAACTACATCAGCCAATCCTATTCAAGGCTTAGAAATCTGATTTCATCAGCTTTGATCGAGGTTTGATGTTAATATTTGCAAAGGGTTTCATCTGCTCTACATGAACATAATCCCTGGTCTTGAGAACCTGCCAATATGATCGAGACAAAATTAACCATACACAATGTCGCTAAGTAGTCACAGCAGTAATAGTCTGAACGTTTCACAGCAAAGAAATAAAATTATCTATGGAAAACTGGTGGTCATCCATTATAAGTTACATATTCCACACATACATTAACTTCCCAATCAAGAAAAATTTTTTTTTTTTTTTTAAGAATCAAACATGGAGTCCACATATTAACCAAACATAAAAGTCAAGACAAGGTTAACAAAGATCTAGCTCCTTTCTTCAATCACCACCTTACAACAAGAAAACGGCAGTTGACCACAAGAGTAAAACTCATTTCAGAAAGCATTTTTTTTTGGACAAACATTCAGAAAACATGTTTAAAAACCTGTGAATATAACATGAAAGAAATATATTTATATCCAAAATCATTCAAGATACACTTGTCTTGAAAAGCCTCATTCCCATGAGTCCATGACCAATGAAAAACTCCCATGCTTTCCAATTCCTTTTACCACCCTGTCAGAGGAAAGCCTTGACAATAATACAGTGAATGTTCGAAAGACATGCCTAAAGCAATTCAAACAACACTCTAAAAAAGGGGGAGTAGGGAAAGAAACATCAAATACTAGTTAAACCTAATGACCATATTGGCGTGTTCATCCCTGCTCATTTCCAGCCATAAACATCTGCCTGCTTGAGGTTGCTTTTTTGAACTATTTCTTTAAAGCAGCGTGAGGAAGTAATTAGTATTTGACAAAATCCTTGTAAGCACTCTTCAGAAATCTTTAAAAAATCAGAAGTTCTTGCTACTGTCAAATTACTCGAGAATAGGTAATCGAGCTGGTAGGGCAAAATCAGAGAAAAATATGGTAATTAATTATTTGAATTGAATTGTGATGGTTCCGTCCTAAAAAAAAAAAAAACTAATTTTACCTCTGCTTTCAAGGATAAGCTCCATTTTATCTGTTTACTTCCTGCAATGGGTAACTAACTATTGCCACCACTCAAAAGACATTTTATTTTATTTTTTCAAATGTTTGGCTAAGACACCTCATATTGTCAAAACAAGTAATTGTTTTATAAATATTCAGCACCTGCCATTTCTTAGGATAGGCCAACCAAGAGATTGGCGTCCATACAAGTCAATTCAGAATCTGCTATTCCCCACTCCCAATTCGTCAAAAACAATTTGATGGCTACAGATATAAAAAGCCTCCCAACCCATCCTACTTTTTGAAACATTTAAAGTCACTAGATACCAATGGGAAACTTAGTGCTAATCACCTCCCAGGAATCCACACAGCTAGGAGGCTAGAACAAGGTCTGACAACCAGCTAAAGTAATCAAGATGAGTGATTATAAAGTATAAACATCAATATCACTCCATCCAATCCCATACAAGCATGCCCGAGTTAAGCTTCAAATGAAAATAACTCAAAACAGAAAGGGCATATGCAAGAGAACCCTCAAATAACAAAACTGTAATATCAGTAAGTTTACTTTTTAATCTAGCACATCTACCAATACAAATTAGGATAATCTCAGAAAATACTTAGGTTTTCCAGGGTTAAATTGTAGTTATACAGTAGTTGCAAAACACAACAGTTCCAATTTTTAGATGCAGTTAGTGGAACAGTTTAAACTTCAAACAACAAGAAGCCCTTTCCTGCTAGGTGGGAGTTTAAAGTTCAAACAACAAATGAAATTGAGTCATTCGCATTTAAGAGATTGCATACATATTAACCAAACTTCTTAAGTTCTAATAAATTCAAAAACTTTTATCTTGATGACGAGATGACAAAAGAAGGTTCCAGAAAAGTAAACATTGACACAAAATTAACAGCAGGGAAAGGCATTTTTGTTCCCGTACTGCATATGATACAGAAGGGACCCCAATAGACTTTAGCAACATATCTTGAGCAAACAGACTCTACAAATCTCCTTACTTTATACAGCACTGAATTATGTCACCAAAACCAAGATTCATGAACATACCAGTGTTTCAAAAAACATCCTTGAGGCTTCTTTCCGGGTTTTACCAGCTATTAGATTATCAAGTGGCAGGTTCTTCCTTCCATGCACATCTTCCTTATCAAATAAAGCCTGCAGATACTTGGCAACAGCTCTGTGGATAGAAGTATTAGTTGGCTACCAAATTAACATATAAATGGATTCAGATCTCATCAAAATGTTAGACCTCAAACAAGATGATGGCATAGAATGCTCTATCAAAAAGAACACAATAAGATTCAAAAGTCAAAAAAATCCAACAAGCAATAAGGATTGTATATTAATTAGCATAACAGAAAGAAACATCCAAGAATTTAAAAAGACAAAAAATTACTGAACTAGAGCAAGACTCCACTTACCTACACCAACACTAATAACAAGCATTATCCCACTAGGCCCTCCACTTAATTACAAGCGAAATAATTTAAATCTAGCAATAACAGGATAACCCCTCTCTTACAAGGCATCAGGACTGCCCAAGGCAATGCCGTCAGGTTAAAAGACACTATTTAAAACAGCAGTGCAAGAGGGAATGAAGCGTTACAGCATGATAAATTTCAGGGTCTGAATTCTTATTCATCCTTCAGGTAACAGGGCACATCAGTTTTATTGAGATTATCTTAGTTTTGGTCAAAGTAATCTGCTCTAAACCAAACAGTGTAATCCGAACAAACCAGTATGCAATACTAATAAATAATGAATAAATGAAAAAAATAACTACGGCAAAAGAAACAGGGAGCTAATAGATCCAATGGACTTTATTAGTCTACAATACAGCATATGATATATAATTAGAGGATTACTTAGACCACCATATATTGATGCCAGATTTTTAGAAAATAGTATTGCTTTATTGCATGAAAAGGCACAAAAAAAGCAGTTAGTTGCTGCATGCAGAAGTTTTCTACAAATGCTTCAAATATACAAACCTGGTCCGAGAAGACCATCCGCTATTTTCTAGAAGAGCTCCTTCATCACATGGTATATAATCATCATCACCTTGAACCATATCATCATCAACATTCAGAAACCCTGAAAACAGATTGAACAGGATGCTACCTATATCAGACAAACATAACCAGCAGCAATAAATGACTCACACTCCACATAATGACTACATTGACTATTTTAGAAGCCACAAAGGCATAGCTAGCACCTATCCTGTACACAAGACCCCTGGAAGACATAATTTTCTATCCCCCCTACCTTCATATTGGTAGCTCCCTCAAGGAAGAATAATGATAAGATTTTAAATTATTGACAAATGCAACTGTCAATCAAGAAGAGAACTACACTTCCAATCTAAAATATAATCCTGTATAAGGAAACCTAAGTTAATTTTCTTTACTATTCCTGCGTCCAAATTCTTTCATTCAGATTTGGGATCAGATGCCACAAGCCTGTTAGTTTTGTGTCTAATTCGGTACTTGATGAAATAGAGTTGTTGCATTTTTGTTTTGGTCATCCTAGTCACGAGCACTTCAAAAAATGGTGATATTTGGTCACCCTCAATTCATGAATAAAGATGAATGGGGTCCTTCCAAGACAAAAACAATAAATGGAGCATGGTGGTATTTTTTACCTTTATAGATGGTCATATGCGCCTAACTTGGGGTATATTTACTAAAGGAGAAATCTGAAGTGCCTGTTGTTTTCCAGAAATATCATGTTTTGATTGAAACTCAACTCAAAAAAAAAAAAAAAAATCCAGATTCTTAGAACTGGCAATGCAAAAGAATACTTCAACTCTAGCCTTGAAAATTACCTAAGTTCCCATGGGATTCACCACCAAAGTTTATATTCACATACCTCTATCACTTAAGCCTGATCCCTGTGCTTTAAAGTGCATCTTAGTTTGGGTACTCAGAGAACCAAAAGGACCACTCCAATTTTGACTTGAAACTAGTCCTAACTCTAGACTTATGGGCACACGATCTTTCAAAATCATTGGGTGCACAACAAATGTTCACATGCCTCACTCACTTAAGCCAGATCCCCATGCTTTAAAGTGCATCTTTGTCAAGTACCAGCAGAACCAAAAGGGGCACAGATACTACTGCTCTCCTACTCAAAAAATATTACACTTCCAATGATGTCACCTTTTTATGACCACCAACAATCACTCCTAGGTAGACCATCCTATTTCCAGCCACTTCTTGACCTCGAACTGCCTAAAAACGGCCCAGTAACATCTGAATTGCTACCTGAAACAGCCTTTAAAACTCTCAAAACAGAACCTGATCCTTCCACTGAACAACGTGACCTCATTAATGACTAGAGAGCAGAACATTCCATGACTGTCCAGAATGAGGAATCAGACCAATTTGAATTTAACTAGAGGCCCAGGCACAAGAACAGGTCCAGGAAGAGCAAGCAACTAATCAATATCGAAGTCGTGGGAATATTACATCTTATTGTCAATAATTAGCATTTATTATTGTTCATTAGGCTTTATTAGTATTTATCAGGTTTTATCTCTCTTGATGTATGCAAAAAGGACCAATTTGTACATTAGAATACACATGAATGAGAAATAAATTTTTCCTCTCTCAAAACCCCCCATGGTATTCGAGCATCATGCTCAACATTCAAATCAGGTTCATTCTGAAATGGCTGGCATGAGACTTCCTAGGTAGTACGTGAGGGCATTCTTGGGGATAATGGTGGGGCAAGTTTGGACTCTTATTACCACCCTAGACATGCTCAGGATGCTCAAAACACCAAAACCCAAGATAGCAACGGCAATGGCAAACAGCAGTGTGTAGCCCACACGTGACACCCACAAATTGCATCCTATTGAGGAAATAGCAAGGATAAAGATTGTCCTTGGTAAGGAATTTGAAGTTAAGGATCTCAGGAACTTGAAATATTTTCTTGTATGGAAGTTGCAAGGTCAAAACGAGGCATATATGCATCTCATAGGAAGTACATACTCGATGCTTCTCAAGTAAACTGGCATGTTAGGTTGTAAACCTGACAAAACTCCCATTGTGGTCTCGAGAAAGAAGTTTGAGTGAACAATAAGGAGCCAGAAGGAGAAGACAGCTCTAATGATGAGGTTGAAGAAGATTACAAGGAAAAAGAAGAAACCATTGATAAATACAGATATCAAAGACTGATGAGGAAGTTGGTTTATCTATCCCACACAAGGCCACATATTGCTTTTGTTGTCAGTATAGCGAGTCAATACATGTGTGATCCAAGGAAGAGACACTCAGATTCTCAAATACCTTAAAGGTACCTTTGGTAAGGAATTAGTATTCAAGAAACATGATTAGAGGACAATTGAGATCTATACAGATGCAGGCAAGGGGGAACTATGGAGACAAGAGATCCACCTCTGGCAATTACTCATTTGCGTAGGAAACTTAATGACTTGGAAAAGTCAAAAGCAAAGAGTTGTATCCAAAAGCAATGCTGAAGCAAAATTGAGAGCATTAGCTCAAGAAATCACAAAAGAAATATGGATAAGAAGGGTCATGGAAGAAATACAGGTAAGAATTGATCCACCAATAAAGTTGCATTGTGATAATAAGGTTACCATAAGCATGGCATTGAATCCTATACATCATAAGATATCTAAACATGTTAAAATGGAGAGACATTTTATCAGAGAGAAAGGAGGAGGCATTGTATGTTTGACATACCTACCTATAAAGTTACAAGCCACAGATATGCTGACCAAGGGACTACCCAAGCCTACCTTTGAGAGTTGTATAAGCAAGTTGGACATGATTAGCATCTATGATCCAACTTGAGGGGGATTGTGGGAATATTATGTCATTATTGTGAATAATTATCATATATTATTATTCGTTAGACTTTATTAGTATTTATTAAGTTTTATCTCTCTTGATATACATTAAAATACACATGAATGAGAAATACATTTTTCCTCTCTCAAAATACTACAAAAGCATATTACACTGATCATCTAACTCTACCTCAGATTCTCAATTTTGCAACTTGGGCTGGCCTATTGCTTTGAGGAATGGGGTAAGGTTTTGCACTAACATCCTATTAGCAACTTTGAATTGTATAAACAATTATCTCCTGCTAAGAAAGCTTTTACTACAGTTGAACAAATACCTAAAAATGTTAAATAGGCTATGGAGAATCCAATGTGGAAAGAAAATATTTATGAAGAAATGGAGGTTTTGATTAAAAATCAGACTTAGGAGTTGATTGAGCTTCCTCAAGGTAAAATTATCGTGGATTGTAGATGGGTGTTCACTAAGAAATACAATCCTAATAGGAGTGTAAATAAGCGTGATGGCTTGTTACAAAAGGTTTCACTCAAATCTTGATTGGCACTTGTTTCAGTTGGATGTGAAGGATACATTTCTAAATGGGAATTAAAAAAAAAAAAAAGGAGAGGTGTAGATGGACATACCTCCTGGTTTTAAAACAAGTGTGAACCAGGGTAAAGTATGTAAATTGTGTCAATGATTATAGGGCCTGAAACAGTCCCTCATACTGGGATTCAAAGATTTACTAAAGTTGCGAAGAAGCATGGATATACTCAATGTCAGACAGATCACGCACAGTGACACAAAGTGATGGAAAAATAACTACATCCATTGTCTGTGAGGATGATATAATTATTACCAGCAATAACCTGTGAGAAGCAAAGATTGAAGTAGGTGCTAGTAGCTGAATTCAAGGTGAAAGACTTGGGACAATTGAGATATTTCCTAGGTATTGAAGGAAACATCGATAAATAAGGATATTAGAGTAACAGCCATGCCCATGGAGGTCAATCTCCAATTTGGTCAAAAGAAAGACAAAGATGGGAGGATAATAGTGAGCCTCCCAGTTAATGAAGAAAGATATAAGCTATTAGTAGGGAAACTAATTTCTCTCTCATACCAGACCTGATATATCTTATCTGGTTTGTATTGTAAGTCAGTTTTCTACCAGGCCTGTTGAGGAACACAGAGAATCAGTCTTCAGGATCTTGCACTATTTAAAATTCACCCCTAGTAAAAGCTTGTACTTTAAAAAGGGGCTACACAGATAACAACAACAACAACAACAACAAGCCTTTATCCCACTAGGTGGGGTCGGCTACATGGATTGCAAGACGCCATTGTGCTCTATCATTTATTAAGCTTTTAGAAATATTATTAATTAAGAGATCACGTTCAACAACTTCCAAGAGTGTTCTCTTAGGCCTTCCTCTACCTCTCTTAATCGGACTCAAAGTTATATGTTCCACTCTTCTCACTGGTGCCTCCCTTGGTCTTCTTTGTACATGCCCAAACCATCTCAACCGATTTTCTACCATTTTTTCCTCAATAGGTGCCACCCTCACTTTTTCACGTATGTGCTCATTTCGAATTTTATCTTTACGTGTATGTCCGCACATCCATCGTAACATTCTCATCTCTGCTACTCCAACTTTATGCTCTTGCTGTCCCGTTAGAGCCCAGCATTCACTACTATATAACATTGCCGGTCTGATAGCAGTACGATAAAACTTTCCTTTAAGTTTATTAGGCACCTTACGGTCACAAATAACTCCTTTAGCTTTTCTCCAATTAAACCACCCAGCTTGAATTCTATGCGAAATATCTCCACTGATTTCGCCATCATTTTGAATAATGGCTCCCAAATATCTAAACTTTTCCACTTGAGGTATGATTTGATCTCCCAATTTCACTTCCAAATTATTTTCGAATAGTCTTTTACCAAATTTACAATATAAATATTCCGTCTTACTTCTACTCAGACGAAAACCTTTCGACTCCAATGTCCTCCTCCATAACTCAAGTTTGCAATTAACCTCTTCTCTTGTCTCTGCTATAAGAACTATATCATCCGCGAAGAGCATACATTTCGGGATTTCCTCTTGAATATGTTCCGTCAAAACATTTAAAATCAAGTTGAACAAATAAGGACTCAGAGATGATCCCTGATGTAGTCCAATCTTGATAGGAAAATCCTTTGTTTGACCACAAGGCGTTCTTATACTAGTTTTTACCCCCTCATACATATCTTGTATGGCTTTAATATAAGCAATCCGTACTCCCTTTTTTTCCAACGCTTTCCAAAGCACTTCTCTTGGTATACGGTCATAAGCTTTTTCCAAATCAATAAAAACCATGTGTAGATCTTTATCTTTACAACGATACTTTTCCATTAATCCCCTTAGTAGATAAATTGCCTCTGTAGTTGATCTACCTGGCATAAAACCAAATTGATTCTCAGAAATACTTGTCTCCAATCTCAACCTGTGCTCAATTACTTTCTCCCACAATTTCATTGTGTGGCTCATGAGTTTAATCCCTCTATAGTTAGTACAATTCTGAATATCTCCTTTATTTTTATAAATAGGAATTAATGTACTTCTCCTCCACTCATCAGGCATTTTCTTGGACCGTAAAATCACATTAAATAATTTAGTTAACCATCTCACCCCTTCTTCACCTAAACATTTCCACGCTTCGATAGATATACAATCAGGTCCGTTAGCTCTACCATTTGCCATTTTCTTAAGAGCTTCCTTTACCTCCTTATCACGTATTTTTCGATAGAATGACAAATTTTGTTCTCCTACACCAGTTACTAAATCCTCCAAGTTACTAGATGAATCCTCTCCATCATTGAAAAGTTTAGAAAAATAAGTCTCCCATCTATTTTTAATTTCATCATCTGTAACTAAAATTCTTCCCTCTTCATCCTTAATACACCTTACCTGTTCTAGATCTCTTGATTTTCTTTCCCTACTCTTGGCAATCTTATAAATATTTTGCTCTCCTTCCTTCGTCTCAAGGTTCTTATAAAATTCTTCAAAAGCTTTGGAACGAGCTTCACCCACAGCTCTCTTAGTTTCCTTCTTAGCCATACGGTACCTCTCCCAATTTTCCTCATTGTTACACAAATGTATGGCTTTAAAACAGTTCTTCTTATACTTGATTTTGTCCTGTACACTATTATTCCACCACCAAGACTCCTTATCTCTCGGACCAGAACCTTTCGATTCTCCCAAAACTACTTTTGCAACCTCCCGTATCTTTTTAGCCATATCCTCCCATATGATGTTAGCACTTCCCTGAGAATCCCAAATTCCTTTATCCAAAAGATTTCGCTTGAAAATATCTTGCTTCTCACCTTTTAATTGCCACCACCTAATCTTTGGTGTTACTACTTGTCGACGTTTTTGGATTTTACTCATAATACACACATCAAGGATTAGGACCCTATGTTGTGTCGTTACAGCATCTCCAGGGATCACCTTACAATTTTTACAAAGTTTTCTATCTGTGTTCCTAACCAAAAGAAAATCAATCTGCGACCTTGAGGCTCCACTTTTGTAAGTGATGAGATGCTCATCTCTCTTCTTGAAACAAGTGTTGGCAATCTTAAAATCATACGCCAATGAGAAATCAAGAAGAGTTTGCCAGAAAGAAGAGTTTGCCCAAAAAAGGGGGGGGGGGCTACACAGATGAATTGAAATATTCACAGATGCTGATTGGGGAAATTCTCGCACAGAGAAAAGGTCAACTACACGGAATTTCTTCTTTGTGTGGGGTAATTTGGTCAAATGGAGGAGCAAAACACAATCTATAGGATCGTGCAGCAGTGCTGAATCAGAACTTAGAGCTTTGGCTCATGGGATCTGTGAAGGAATTTGGCTCAACCGATTACTTAATGAAATAGCAGTGAAGTTTGAGGGGCCAACACATGGAATCGCATCTTCTAGGGAACAGGTATCAAAGTAACCAAAAACACGGACCTGATGGAATCCATACAGGTTCCCATTCCCTTCTTATGGAATTCCAGGAACCATGTCACCTTGATCTTTTTTGGTGTAAAAGCAGATCAGGAATTACCAAAGAAACTTTAGTTGATGTAGCTTGACTCTATTACACGAGTGAACCCTTGTTGATCCATCTAGAACAATAAAGTTGGACGCTATTGCTTTCCTTGTATGATTGTAGTAAAAAGGATAGTATTTAACAGTTGATTTCTTGTGGTAAAGGTGCGCAATATCTCAAGAAAAGAAAACACCTCAAACAGAAAATTTTCTAGCAGGTTTATGCACATTTCTTTGCTTCTATTCAATCATATATATATATATATAGCAGGACCGCTGTTCTAATGCTCAGTACTCACTTTGTACTATGGTTCGCTACTTAGAAACTCTCATAGCAGCCCTACTCAACCATCAAAAGAAAAGCAAATCAATAATATGAGCCTACATATACACGGCCTCTTGGACTGGAAAACCACTTATAGATATCTACATAAGCTTCTGGCAGCGTACATATCAGGAGATGAATCAACAGTGTAAGGATTTAGAAGCAAACCTGTATCCTCTGCAAATACAATATTTTCCTGCGCCATGCAGCCAAAGAGCTTGGTTAGATATTAATCAAAACTTAAATTAAAGGGAAAACATACTTTTTGGTCCCTGCACTTTGCTCGTGTTTTGTTATAGGTCCCTGCACTTTTTTTCAGTGTTTTGAATCCTTATACTTTTATTTTCCAATGTTCTAGGTCCCTAAATGAATAAATTGAACAAAGTGTGGGGACCTTGGATAAGCATAAAACACCAGAAAAAGAAAGTGTAGGAACCCAAAACATTGAAAAAAAAAAGTGTAAGGACCTACAGTAAATTACAAGCAAAGTGCAGGGATCAAAAGGTATGTTTCTTCCAAATTAAAATACACCAAGTTTCATAAATAAAGAACCAGAGTTCAGAGATCAACCGCTTCAAAAAAGAAGTATACCAAATTGAACAATAAAACCATATGATATACAATAAGATAAATCATTATGAATTTAACAAAATTACATGATCAACACTATCTGGTATTCAAGATCAATACTTCTATGAAAATGAGATGAGAAAAACTGTGTGCATAAATATGTGTCTATTATGGTCAAATGAAGGCATCCTCCTAAAAAGGTAAAACAGGAGAAGAACCAGCATGCACTACAGATTTCAATTAAATATGATCAACAGGATTTTATTACAAAACTTGCAATTGACAAAATGCAGAACAGTAATGAAAGGGGAGAAGAGAGAGGAAGAAACAGAAAGAAAAAGCAGGGAGAAGTTGGCAGAGGGAAAAAAGAATAAAACTGACAATATAGTCCAAATAGTCTAAAATCCACATTAGCACAATTGGTAAGTGTTTTACATATAGAGACCATGGGATAACTCCTTATAACTTCAAAAGTTAAAAGTAAATTAAATTATTAATTTCTACTGCTAATATTGAATTAAAATATCATTTCATATACGTATCATTAATCCTTTATGACTAATTAATATCTCTCCCAATCTCTTTCAATTCTCACTCTCCTTCATTTTCCACTGATTAGAGACAATTTGCCCTCAACTTCAATGCAGAAGCAATTGAAAAATCCATCTTGAAATGTCAGGTAGAATGAAAACTACTTTGAGACATGGTGGCCAAAAGCCCAAAACAACTTATTGGTTGAATCTAAACTCACATTCTGCAACTTGAAGTTTAACTTCTGATTTCTGCTCAGAATCCCGACGTTCTACATATCCTACATCACCACCTAATTCTTCTTTGAAATGTGTTGCTCTCGTTCTTGTCAGCGATTTGTGTACTTGGTAGACTAATAGCATACAAAATTTCAACAAAATGGTGGTCCGCATTATCTGTCTGCCCTATGCCTTTCCTCAAAAATCATAAACTAAAATAAGAGTTCTAATTCAAAGTAAAAGCCAATCTCCACGTCCATCCATGTCATTAAGATTTTCCACAAGCTTTTGAACTGATTTGCAGCATTTTAGACAAGGGTAAAAAGTGATAAAGATTTTGGAATACATTTGTGCCTATAGTGAAGTATGTTATGCGTATCATATCAGTTGTGCCAAAAAAAGGGGCAAGCCTCCTTTAAAGCAACAGTTCAACATAGATGGCATAACAAACATTAAAATATTATGACAAATGGGGAGCTTACATCATTTTGGTCCACCAAAGAACTCTCAATAGCTGAAATTTCATGGTGCATTCTACTCCTCTGGTCAGCTTCATGAGAAACTGAATTTTCTTCATCAATTAGAGAAATCTCTTTGGCATCCAAAACAACAGCTACACCATGTAAATAATCTACTCTAGTATTTTCACTATAACTGCATCCAAACCTTGAGACTTTATCATCATACCCAGAACCAGAGGCAAGCATTTGATCCTCATTTATGCCCCCAAGCAAGTTGTTTCCACTTTTCTCAAGATGTAGGTCCCTATTTGAGGTAGCCTGGTTATTAGCGTACTCATCTATTCTCTCACATCCAGTAGCCAATGATGTGTATAAACTGTTATGAGTCTCAGAACCATCCATTTGAACTTCTGTTCTAATATCAACTCTGTCTTCTGAAATTTCAGAGATGCCTACTCCACTTCTGTTGATTTTACTCTCTGCAAGTTCATTCTCTAGAATAGGGAGGGCATGCAAATTCTGGGAAGATGATATGCCCAGTATATCTGTATGCATAGAACCATAACCATCCAAGTCATTGCTTTTATGCATTACAGTCAATGGAGCAGCAAAATCATCAGGCATACAGTGGTTGTTGTCAAAGACAGAATCAGCATGAAATGATGATTCCAAGCCAGGGGTAATGGAGCAATTTTGAGAGTCAAAAACCTCAATATTTTCTCTACAACCATTCATTTTGGTGGTTTGAGAAATTTGAACCTCCTTCACATGGGAAATAACATCTGTATTCCTGTGAATATTAATATCAAGAGATTCTGCATTAAATTCAGGCTGATTGCTCTCAGGCACAATAGGTGCCCCAAAAGGTTGTTCCTCCGCATCTTGGACCATGACAGGTTCAATGTTTCTTTCCACTCCATGAATATCAGTAACATTTGTTCTTGAATGGGATTCATTATCATTTGTTGCTTCTGAGAGAGAACTGTCTAAAATGTAATCACAAACCCTAATCCCAGTTAGATCCAATTTCTCATTTCGCAGAAGTATCAAATCAGCTGACACACCTGAAAGATATACAAAAAAATAGCTCAGTTTGAAAGACCCTACCATACATTTAAAGAATTTTTTATTTTCAGCCAATATTTCCATTCCAGGACAACTACTAAGGAGAGGGCATTATCAGAAGTACCCTGAAAATCTAAAGATCAAAGTTTCAAGCAAAACACAGAAATATCTGAACATAAGAAGCCAGGTTCACAACACCAATATGGTTTTGATTCAAGTTCAGTTAGGTCCCTTGAAATTAATCAAGTATAGTCCATTTAAATTTTACACAGGTTATTAATGACCCATGATCATTTTAGTTTGGTAACTTCCTGATATCATCCAATCAATAAAATCGAAATTTGCAGTACTTTTCTTCAAATCGACATCATGATGTATGGTCCACAAAATGGGTCTAGATTATATCATGATGGGTTCAGGAATAATGGGATCCAGGCTGAGTCACGTGAAGTGCAATAAGCGTATGATAAACAGGGAGTAGGTTAGAGACGGGGAACATATGCTAGAGTGGGTTAAAAGTAAGGGTTTCAAGAGATTGGAGAGTGCGTGATTGGGAGAGATTAACAGGGAATGATTACATGGTTATGGGATATATAAAATAGCCATTTCTATACACAGCTACTTGACAAGGAGAAAAGGTAACTAACAACCATTTGAATGACTCCATTGCTTGTTCACAAATACTTTCCTCTTATTATAACATATTTGTCTTGCCTCACTGGATATGTGTTTGTAGGGTTGTATTATATGTTTAAGGAAGCAGGGAGGTTGGGGCATATACCTGAAAGCCATAGCACAAAACACACATTTCTCACCTGTAAATATTGGATCTTGAAAAATTTCATCCTCCAGAAATTGTCTTTGAATCATTAATATTTCTTGGTGAGTGCAAGGAGCTTTCTTCCGTGTGCGACGTATGTCTTCAGTATTTGTTAGTTGTTGCCGTATTATACTAAAGAAAGAAGGCAAAAATAATTAGTATCCCATTGCAAGAGAAAAGCAAAATACAGCTTTCTATAAAGCAAGAGAACAAATGCGGCATCATAAGCACATCTCGGCCATAACCAGTCAGTTAATAAAGGATATATCTATTAAATGCATCAGGGAAGTTATTAAGGTTTTAATACGGACAACATTCTAGTGCCTTTTCCATCAGGTACAGTACACGCATTCTATAGACCATGAAATAACACATCTTTCTCCTCATTAACCAAAGTCAACACATCTTCAGTCATGAAGGAAATTAAAAAAAAAATGAAATAGGAAACAGCAAATGAAGTTAATTATTAGATAATAAAACTTTTGGTTGTATATGAATTAGTTGAATGGTGTAAGTTAACACCCTTATTTAGGGAACTACAATCTTCAACTTCGTGATATATATGCTTTCTTCAAGGATGACCATCTAATAAAAAAGATTGTTGATGCGATGTATTTAACACAAGCTTGTAATTGCTCTCTGGCAGTGTGCCAACCATTCAATCCTCTGATGCATTCGCTGGGTAGAGCAGAATGCTTGTATATTTAAGAGAATGCGTCTTTGTCATTCATCATACTTATTTTTCAGTTAGTTTCCTAGATGGAAATGTAAAGGGATTGAAGAACTCTCATGCATTAATGTTAGTTTCATAATATTCAAGTTATTGCTATCTGAGGATTTATCCTCGTCTTTCAAGGAATAGTGGCAGGGAGTTTTAGTAAAATTGTTAGGTACAACTTAATAATCACTATCCAGATTCTCCTTTGCAACAAAAAATATTAAAAAACTGAGTATGAATTGCACCTAAAAACTTACAAGATATATTAATCACATAAAGCATAACAGAACCCTCAACATAAAATAAAGAGGAAAACCAGGTGCAATTGAACATGTGGGCATTATAAAAACCTACTCGCCATGCAAGACCATTGTATCATCTGTAAGCACCTTCCTCTTTATGGCACTAGTGCGTGATACCAAACGGGGACGTTTTATTGATACCACTTCAGAGGCTGCTGGAGTGGGTTTCACTTTCAAAAATGAAGATCGTCTTCCAACTAGAGCAACAAAAAAAGAAGCCGCCAAAACTAAGACTGATTCTCACAGAAAAAGAAACATTATAATCTACTTCTAAAAGTATTAAGGGTTCACTTTAATACCTAATATGGAAGACAATAAATCGTCATCATCAGGAAGGAGATCTGCACTTCTCTTGGATTGGGTCCCTCCATATGATTCAGCCAAATCCACACTCTGCATTGTCAGAGTACTTTCAGTGAAACTTCGCTTTTTACCTGAGACACATTTCACTCCTTCATCACTCTTGATGCCTCTAGGTGTATCCCAACTGTCAGGCGTAGATTCCATCATCAAATCGTTAGGTCCAACACTCTGTTGATATGCTAGCGAGAGCATTTTTTCAGGCGCTGGCATGTCAGAAGCAACAGATTTGCTGTCACTTCTTACTGGATTATCAACAAAGATCTGACTCCCATGTTGCTCATCGGATTTCTCCAGATCTTGGTGAATTTGTTCACACAAAGATTGCTCTGTTGTCTGACAATCACCTAAAGCAGGACGTGAAACATTGGTCATGTGACACTGCCTGCAAATATGAAAATAACCAGCTACCAGAACAATCTATTTCTCTGTCTATCGAAGTTACCATATATGTTTACTGTAACTAATTAATGAAAATCATTCAACCAAAATTCTTAAATGGGTGTTAGAAAGTTGATTTCCTCAACCAAAAAAAAAAAAAAAGATGGTAAAGTTAGAAAGCCATGAACTAAGTCCCCAATTTCAACGGAAGTTAACAAGGTGAAGTAAATGTCACTACAACAATTGGATCCATGCAGTAAAGATGCGCTATCATAACATAATTCCAGAGTGCCCATTGTACTCATCAGTTAGAAAATAGAAGAAAAGAAACGAAACAAGACAAAGGAGAGGAGAGAAACAACTAAGCATATTTTCAAAATAAATAAATAAATAAATAAAACTGTGTGACACAGAATCAGCACACTTTTACCTCCAATGAACAACACATTGGTTTGGCCCATATGGGATGTGCATGGTCGAAGATGTAATTCATCTGGCTGTACAGCTTCATGAGCAACATGGTTCAAAACCTCTGCTTCCTTCAATTCCTGGGAGGTCTGTGCTTCAACATCAACATCCTCAGGTCTCCCAGGTGAACCTAGAAGATGCACAACACTGGGTGCTTTAACCTCACCAAAGGGAGCGGATTCCCCCTCACTGTTAGCAATTTCAACATCAGTTGAAGTTTCATGTTTTGACAATGCATGTTTATTCTTTAGATGACCGTCTGATTCTGACCCTTTTGAGACATCTAAGTGAGACAAAAGTTTACAACTGGGGACCTCCTGATCGGACGTAACATGAGAACAACTTGGCGATGCAACAGTTTCACTTGCACTTGCTCTTCTAGAAACCACATCATCAATAACAGTTTGGTCCAGAGAAGCCACAGCTGGCTCATTATTTATGGCAACCCCATCGTGCAAATCTTCCACCTTCTCAGGTACAGCAGAAGCACTAATAATCCCATCTGTGCATTCTGGCACAAAGGGTGGGCAATTCTCTCTTTCGCAATCACCCAAAAGGCAGTCAGTCTCCCCATGGTGAAAATCTAAAACACTACCATTCTTCACATTATCTTGCACAGAATGATCAATTGCAACTTCCTCTAGCACAGTTGAAAATTCTTGTGTGCTCTTAATCGATAGAAAATCAGTTGAATTATGATAAGCTGCTTCATTAATGACCTGAGCCAAGTTTGGCTCTTTAAGTCCAGGAGTAGATGGCCCTTGAGCATATTCACTAGCTTCAGTACCAGAGGATGCACCATCAATCTGATCAGAATAAATCAATTAAGTAATTAAACCCCGAAGAGATCATAACTTCAAGTCTCAACAGAAGTAGATCATAAGGAAAGAACAGCCCACAATTCCATCCAATATTCCACCTTTTAGAATATAAATAAATGACAATAAGACATGAAAAAATAATCAGTAACATCCATAGGCAGCCAGGCATTCCACAAATCTAACCTTGTCTCCACCGACTTTCACCTGCACCCCATCCAGTGTTTCAGTTTCTTCTTCTTTCCTTTCATTTTCATCCAGAGGTCTGTCAGATTGCACGGATTCTTGAGGATTAGCCCTGCAATCAACACACACACACACACACACACACACACACACATTTGGGTATGTCAGGAAATTTATGTTGTACATGACAAAGATGAGTGATGAAAATGATAAAAGATTACTTTTCTTAGAGAGATAGGGAGAGGTCTTACTCCAATATGCCATCACGCTCAAAAGTGGATGCCTTTTCCGTAACAAATCCTGCTTTTCAAAATCAACAATCAACTGACCAATAAATTGAAGGAAAATATACAATATAAAGATGCACAAGAATATAACAAAAGCACAATATTATAAAATGAATTTAACCAAAGAATTAAAAAGTAACTGTTGTCATGTGATAACGCTTCTTATCACTCCGTATCTGATTAGTTACCTTACCTGTTTAACATGTTTAGTAATTAGGTTTGAGATTAAGATTCTGCTAGTTTGGATAAATAGTAGTTTTCAACATCCGGATGTTTATCTCAAGGTAAAAGAAATATTGCATTTTCATAGTTTTCAGTACTTTACTGTTTTTTTGTAGAGAACATTATTATCCATTCTTTTCACACAGCTTCAGTTTCACATTCATCAGTTTCCTTCAGGGTCCATATTCAAATTCTATTGGGCTCCATCAGTTCCCATGTAGTTTGATTTTTATTATAGCTACTTCAGGATTAATGATTAATTGATGATTTAATCTCCCTCTTCAAATTATAAGCCTAGAACAAAAGCAAGATTGATTTCCCAAGTCAATGCTTTATACACATTCTCTCTACAAACTATAGCTCCCGCTAACTTCCTTACTTCAAAACGTCCCCAATCATATTTAAGTATTTAGCTTAGATATCAACCTCATTTTTGAGAAGTAACTAACATCCCATTCGAAGCCTCTCCTTCCACTGTCCTTCCTAACACACACAATCCTATTTCAACGAAGATCTGCTTATTCTTCCCAGGTTATCACAAACCCAAAAGGCTTGGAGCACCCAAATCAGTATTATGACTAACAAAAGCATAAAACCAACTAGGCCCCACTTCAAATAGACAAACCTGAGGTCCATGGGTACAAAACTGGGGGGAAAATAAATTACCTCCTCAAGGTCTAGACCAATTTGAGAAGCATCACCATCACCAAACCTCTCTGAAACCCATGCATTTGAAGTTAAATACTGCTTGTCAAATGTCTCATCGCATGGCTTAGATTTACTATATAACTAGAATTTGAGAAGGAAAAAAAAAAGAGAACGGTGAATACTCACCATCTAATCCAAACTGTGAAGTAGCGTAAACTGCACCCTCCATGGTATCTTGTAATGTGATCTGTTCACGTGTACTGACGTGATGATCAACATAGTTACTGCAAGTTCACAAGATATGCACTTCGCCGTTACTAAAGGGTGAAAACCACATTACATAAAATCACCGTCCAGAATATTAACCAATTCATGCACAACACAACCGTGTAAAGCAACTGTAACTTCAAAGCAATATATGTTTCTAAGAGATTTCTCCTCCCAACCATGAGACAACCGTCAAGGAGAAAGCTGACACAAAGATTAGAGAAATTCAACAGTAAAGAATTTCAAATGAAACTGAACGCAAAAAAACCAGTTAAAGTTTCTCATAAATGTTGACGCACTAGTGACAAGTTCAACACCCAAAGAAACAGCTAGAGCCTCAATTAAGAACACAAGCATGTATTGTGAAACTTACCCCTGAAAGATATCATTATCTGGCAGTTCAAAATCATCAAGATCAAAAGTCTCAGGTAAGGTTATCGAATGGTAAGGTGCAGTGGACTCTTCCGGCGGCAAATCAACAGCAGTGGAGCGGAAAGCTTGCTTAATCTTAAGCAAAGCTTCACTGCAATCATCGAAGAGGTAATTCACCTTCCTAGAATATATCCTCACTACACCAAGCAGAAGATGACTGGACAAGCGAAGCGCAATTGGTACTTCAGGAAAAAGGATTGAATCTGTCCACAAAGGTGAATGTATAAATATCAGGGGGGAAAATGATACCAAAACCAGAGTATAACACATGCAGCACAAGCAACATGTACAGTATATTAATGAATTATCTACTTTTATATACATTGATATTAATCTCCACAGCAGTAATAATGACAGGTATGGCTACGGAATCAAAATAATATTTTTGTCATTTTTTTCCAACCAAAACTACATGCATTTGAAGGTTACACATGAAGCAAAGTGCAGGCCCTAGATTTAATGCGAACACAACACAACTGAACTATTTACTTCCCATGGAATACATTCAAATCTGGCCCTGATAAAGTCAGAACTCCCCAAACTACCATAACTATCCTTAAGAACCTGTTACAATTCAAGTAACATTCGCCTAATATTAATGCCTGTCACTCAACTGTCTTGTAACAACACTAACCCCTCCTTCCCCCCCCCCCAAAAAAAATAAAAATAAAAAGGAAATCATTGTCCTCAAGGATGTGGTACAATTGAAGCCTCAAAATCTGAAAAGTTGCTGCTGAAATAACAAGAGAAAGTAGTTGACTGGCCGACTGGTTGATTACAAGACAGTTGAATTGCAGCCTACTCTGGACTGCTAATGAAAAAAATACTAATTTTCTTTCTTATTCAAAAATTTAGCCTCCTGAATTGTATCAAAAAAACTAAATAAATCGTCTCTTGATAACAAAAGAACAAAAAGGCAAGCTGGTCCATAATTAAACAGCCAGAGAGTGAAATTCTAGACTGAGAGCTTATCCGCGAAATCATTCCATAACGATTTCTAAAACCCAATATCAAGCAGCCAGCACGATTTCTGGTTCTGTCATAAACGAGCCAGTCTTTTAACATTCCATACATCCCAGACTAAATAAAACAATGTTCGTTGCAATATCATTATCGTAAATGTAAATATATTGCTAAAAATTACCATAATAAGGTTTAAACAATATAAGATACAGGTAACTAACCCACAGAGACGCCAATGTCAGTATCAGCAACTTGATTCTTCCGGAGCTTTCTCTCCAAATGTGCAGCTATCCATATCGTTCCAAGTGGCCCTTTCTTGGCCAATATAAACTGAGAATAAAACATGTCTTTCACTCTTTTATTTGGCAGTAAATTCCTATATCTCGTGCAAGAAGCGGGCCCAAAATTTAAATCCCATACCCTCAAACACCTCCCACAAAAAAAAAAAAAAGAAAAAAAAAAAAAAAAAAAGAGAGATAAAACGATGGCCGGCAATCGAACAAACCTAAAGCTACCCAAGAAGTGTTTCGTCGAACAAAGCCCCGCTGGACACCTAAAGCTGATAATTCAACGGCTTAAATTACATGTACAAAACCCTAACTCCAAAATTGCACCGAGGACTTTAAGAATGTGGAAAAGGGCCTCTTTCAAAGAAATTTACAATCCTTTTAGTGGCACTTCATCGCTGCATAGCTCTAAAATCAAAGAACGAAAAGGAAACGCAGCATGTCTGAGCATAATTTTAGCCGAAAATGGCAAACCCTAAGTATGCCCGAATCGCGTATCGGAATGCTCCGTGAATAGTCAGTGCATTGAACTTTCACTTCAAATTCGAACGAGCTGGAAAAAAAAAAAAAAAACAGACCCTGGTTCCTAAGGATTCAAACTGCTCAGATTCAGAAGAGGCTTCGGAGCCAGACAGCAGTCGATTGCCGAGGGGCGCCTTCGATTGAGGAATTTCTTGTTTGTGTTTTTCGATTTATGGTTAATTTTACATCTTATATCTTATATTAAATTTAAAATGTTATATCGTTGCTGCACTGTCATCGTCTGATTGGTCGGAACTGGAAACTTGCAGCGGAAACATAGGCAAAATTTATTGATTGATTATGACTATTTAATTAATGATTAATGATTAATAATAATTAATCAATCAATTTTAGCAAATTTATTATTAATAATTAATAGTAAATTAAAATTAACCATAAATGAAAAATAAATAATAAATAATAAATAATAATTTTATTATTAACTAGAATATGCTGGCCGTACTAGTTTTTCTATGTGCTAATTTGAACTGGCAATTTGAAACTTACGTGGTTTCTTGATAAAACTATGTGGGGGAATTCTTTAATTTTGTTTTTTTTTGTTTTCATGTTCAAATTTTTTTATAGATTAATGTTTAAATTTTTTTTAAATTATTTTGAAAAACGTGGTAAAATAAAAAGTTGAAAAATTATTTATTTTATTAACATAATTGACATTAATGAAAGCATAATATTTTCTGCATTTTTTCAAGTTTTACAAAATAAAAAAATGTCAAAACATCAAAAATATGCTTTATTTTTTAATTTTTTAGAACAACTTTTAACTTTTCAATACAAATAACATTAACACGTTTTTAGACATATTTTTTTTTATATTTTTGTTTTTCAAAACAAAAAACTATTATAAAAAGAGGTAATCCCCTAAAATAAAATTCCAAGATTTAAAAAACTCAAGTTAATTCTCATCATTTTGCTTAGCTTTCTACTATAATAAAATCCTAAGGTTAAAAACTCACAAGTGAATCCCAAAAAAATCAAATCTTACAAAGTACTCAACTATAAATGAAACAAGAATAAGCAAATCCCGAAGCATTAAAATCTTTACGATAAGATAGGGTTGAAGACTGGGGAGACTTTTCTCTTTGTGTGTATGATGGTGGCTTTTGTTCTTTGATCGTCCTTCCTTCCTTGTCAATTTTTCTTGGTTCTTGCTTGGTTTTGGTTTCGTGCTTTGTTCTTTTTCTTTGTAAACTTTTTGTGGTTTTACTCTATTTATAATATATTTCTCCCATCTTGTGATGGTTTGCGTATTATCTTTTTTTTTTTTGTAAGCATTTCTTGGTTTTTAAAGTTCTTGATGATCGTTTACTTCATGCCATTATTACTTTTCTTCTAACTTTGGTTGGAAGTTATTCTACTAGTTAAGGTAACTCTTCATGGGATACGGTTTAGGCAAGTCTTCATGCAAACTTACCTTGTTTATGTAATATTTGAAAACTTCAAATCTAAAATAAATTGATTAATTAAGGGATAAATTAGTTTAAAAGATGATTAATTAATTTAATTATATTTTTGAATTGCTAATTGGCTTTTTAGATCATATTTGCCTCTAAATTGAGTTAGGATGGAAGTTGGATTAAATCGGGTGGCATCAAGGGGAGCAAAAATAACATTTTGCTCGCTATATCATGAGTCGCGGCTTGTGTGTCATGTGCTATGGTGCACGGCACAACACAGACAACATAAAAAATCAAGATTAGTAAAAAAAGGCAGTTTTGTGGGGAAAAGACCTATGACACGAAGGGGAAGGCTTTGAGCAATGTTAGGGCATCATTTTGAGAGGATTTTAAAGCTAAATTGGGCTTTCAAACTCTTGAGTATGTTTCCTACCTTTTTCCTTTACCTTTTCATCTAATTTTTTATAGAATTTAGAAGTGGGATAATTTGTTCTGAATGGATTAAACTATGGGCTTATATTTTAAAGATTTAAATTGATTCTAAAGCTTTGATTTAAGTTTCTTAACCTTGGATAAGTGGTGATATGAAACTATTTTACTGTTTGGTGAAAGTTGGATCAAGCTCTAACTTGATCATGGGGTTTTAAAGTATGATAAGTTGAGATATTAAGTGTTATGTTGTGATAGAGTGAGATGGAGGCTTGAAGAGATTATGTGAGCAAATTGCAATCTTGACAAGCCTTTTTGTTGAGAATATGAGTGAGAAGTGGGAGAATTGGAATGTTATTGATAGCTAATAGTGCTCGTGTTAATTGAAAATTAGCATATATTACTTGCTGATATAGATTGTGGTGTGGAAAAACTTACCTTGATACAAGAAAAGATTTAGTGCCGCGAGTAACCCTTTTAGTAACAAAAGAGTTGATGTAACTAGATAATTTGTATTATTTATTACCTTGTATAAGTTATTCTCAAGTTGTTCTTACACGATTTGTTATGTGTGTGTGTGTGTGTGTATATAAATTTTGTAAAAGTTTACTATTTTAAAAAATGAGCAGAGTATTAATTTGTAAAATGTCATATTTTTGAAATAAGTGGTAAGATTCATTATGTTGGTTTTGAAAGTGGTTTATGCATGGTCTTTAACCATGATTTATTAACCTAATGAGGGTAATTAGTGAATTAATGAGATGTGTGGCCAGAGGGGCTTAACTTGGCATAATTGTCATGATTTCAACCTTAGAAGTAGGGTCCGGATCGATGGTGGGCCACCCAAGCAAGAAAAGAGGATAAAAAAGTGAAAAATTATTTTTTGTGCCACACGTCGTAACGCGTGGATGGTTCGCCGTGGTGCATGGAGAGAATTTAAACGTAATGAGCTTCTTATGCCATGTGTCGCGATCAAGGATAATGTCGGTGCATGACCAAAAATCAGATAAATCAGTTCATGAACTACATGAAAACAGAAGAGAAAAAGAGCGAAAAAATGAGGAGCTCGGTTTTGGCTCAACTAGGGCACAACATTTGGTTTCATTGTTTATAGATTGAAGCTCCCAAACACCCAAGGTAAGATTATGGTGTCTTCTTCTTCCTTTCTCTCCCTCATTTGTAATGATTTGTGATGGGGTTTAAGTTGGGAGATGGATTTTCTATCGATAGGAGTATGGGTCTGATCCCATTAGTTAAAATAAGTTAAACGGGAGTTGTTTAATGTATTAGAACACCATACTTATGATTTTGAAAGTGGTTGGTCCATGAGAGCATTTAATATTCAAAAATTGGTATTTATGAGGTAGTTGGGAGAGATTAATGTACATTAATGATGGTTTGATGTGTTATTAATGATAATGTGCATTTGTAGAATCTAATGAACCCATTGGGTATGAATGGGTAGTGATTATGAGCTGATAAAAATAGTTCATGAGGAGTTTTATATTGATAAAGCTTAAAGAGTTAGATGATCATAATATCATTGTGATATGGTTGTAGAGAGGTTCGTCTTGGCACTATTCGAGCTTGTTGAAGTTTTGGGAAGTTAATATAGTGAGGGATAAACCTTTGACCTCTCAATATTGTATTATAATATGTTATTTTGTATTTTAGCCCAATATTATATATGATGTGAATATGTGATTATTTTTATGGTGATAGACTAAAATACTAATACAAATGCAAGGAATGTTGTATACATGTGGTGATAATATATGTGCAATGTATTATATGGCAATAGAGGTCAAATGATGTATGTGGTATTGATTTTGTGTTTTGGCTATATTACGTAAAATTGGCATTAAGTGGCTAAATTTTATGTTTGATTTTTTTGTGTGTTTAAACGCTTAATTTGGTGTATTTTGGTCTAGTAGACTCGGTTCAAAACTTAAAATGGGTTAATGGTATAAGTTTTGAGTTTTGGGTACTTGGATGCTTGAAAGTTGTTTTAAAAATTGACTTTTACATTTGAGTTTTTGAAATTCTCATATGGTGTCCAATCGTAATGAAACTTGTACCATTAGTTAGCTTATTAAATAAGCTTCACGTGAGCACTTGAATCACTTTAATCGGACATCAGATGTAAAAATGGCACATATTCGAAGTTTATCTCAAAAAGCTGTCATGACAGCATTTGCTGTCATGACATGACACATGCACCACTGTGCATTGTGCGTAAGCCACAGTGCACAATATAGTGGCCAAATTAGCCTTTTTATATGATATGCAATGTGCATTGACCACGAGCCGTAGCACATGTACTAAAATACTCAAAAATAACATTTTTTGACCCAATTTTTAAGTGTTTGCTTCTCAAAACTCTTCCATGCTTCCAATACTTTTATAAATTATTAAGTTTAAGGTCAAACTATAAATTTGAAGGGTTTTTATGAGATTCTAAATATTTTAAAATTATTTCTAAAAGATTATTAGTTTTAACTCTTTTATATATAATATGAGTTTAAGAACAATCATTGCTCCTAATTATGATTGTTTGTTGTAATTGTGTGGTGAATTTTATTAATATCAAGGTGGACATTAGAATTTAGGCCTTATAAACATTATAAATGAGGGTTGTAATTTAGTTCTACTTGACAGGACTCTAATGATTATTTTCCTAATGCTTTGAACA